TCGTTAAAAAGTAGCCCTAAACAAGTGCCTACAAACAATATTTCGCGAAACCTCCTTTTAACATGGCATTAATGTTTCGCCATCCACGTGCTAAGAAAGCCAAATCGGGGTGTAAAGACAATTCATTCACAATAATCGTGTGCATACACCATCGCCCTATGGATCAGTGGTCTGTTCACAAGAGAACAGTGTGGCCCCAGTGGACCTGTGAGTTTGTGTGTGTGTGTGTGTGTGTGAGAATTCTCGGCGTGGTTTGGTCGGGTGTGCGCAGTGTTCTGCAGAAAATATGCCGTGGCTTTATGACTTTGCTCGGCTCATTCTAGCGCTAATTAATCGACTTTGCGTGTGCAGTGAGGCCAAAGGGTTGTTGGGTTTGGGTGTGAAGCGGAAACGGCGGTGCAGAAGAAGCAGCGCGGGGCTAGTGCAAACTGGGGGGGTGGTGGGTGGTGGGCGGGGAAATGAGGGAGATTTCCGCCAGCACCGTGTTCACGCCTGAGTGAACGCACTCTGAGGAGTCACGTGGATTGGCTGGTGGTTGGTCGAATTAGTGTTGGCTGTGGGCACTTGTTCGCCCACGCTGGTGAAATTCCGCTCTTGCACACAAAGTAGTTCGCCTTCAGGTTAATGCACCGTGAAGTGCAGTGACAAGTAGAAGGTACATTTTGTTCCTCACCTGGCTTTGTTCTCGGGTGCTTAGTGTGAATGTCTTCCTAGTTGACGAATAGACTAGGCGATGTGGTGAAGTTGCCCTGCAATTTGCATGCAAGACGTGGAGACGTGTGTTTGTGGGTGCGCTAGGGTATTTTGCCAGTCCACTTCATTGCTCACTGTTCAATCTTCGATTCTTCTTGTGTCTCATTAATGATTCCAAACCATTTGTTGTGTGTTCGTGGATTGGAAGTTTTCGAAGATCAACCTGTTGATGCGTTTTTGGTGTGTTGACTCATTTCTGTTGTTAGGAGTTGAAGTGATCTGTTTTTGCATTAGTCACTCTAAGGATACCGCAAAGAACTGTTTCTGCTCGACTCGAAAGAGGTGCATTTGGAACCCAAACGTGATCATGTATTACTCATGTTCTTCGGTTAAAGCTTTTTCGGGTGTTTTTTTATACCAAATACTCCCCATTCTGGCCACCAGTAGTCAATGATCTTGGGACTGCCAATCAAGCCATACACTGGACGTAACCTTTCGCTCATTCGGTGGACACCGTTCGGGAGTGCATTTTTGCAAGCAATAAGAATTAGTTGCGCTTTTTGAATGCAACCCAGATTCTAGTCATCCCCAAGCAAACAATTCCGGAGAGGCAGATTTCTGATAAGCCTCCAAGGGATTAGCCATTAAATACCATTCCCTAATGGTTGTCATGGTGATACCTATGCTTAAAAAACACTCCAATTAATTTATGGAGATGGTTTGTTTTGAAAAACACTTAGCTTCAACTTAGATTAGCCAGCTGCCTCTGTAACTGGTTATTGAGTTCAAATAGAATCTACAACTATCCAGACATTATGTATGCCATTTTATAACAACGGTCACGTTAAGCAACCACAACGGAATGTCTCAGCCCTTACAAAACGCAGACCTGTAAGAGAGAGAATGAGTTTCAACAACTTAGTTTGTTGTAATGTGCTGCCTTGACAAACAACACCGTCATATCTGATGCATATTGTTTCTCGTTGGCGAACTCAGTGAAATTTTAATTTCCGCGAAGAATCAGCTAATAGCGTACCGGTTACAAACTCACGCAAGCTAACCAGGTAGGCGGAATAAAGCAACTGCTACCCCGTCAGTTTCCTAAACTACTCATTCTTTATATGTGCTCTAATTTAACTTAGGAAAAATGTTGTGGTACCAGGACCGAAGACGTACATTACCATTGGTTCTAATCTTTGTAGATCCTTAAGTCTTTAATGATGTTACAAAGTGACACGTTCTTCGGTGAACTGCAGCCTGTGTGAATACATATTTGCTTACAAGGACCTAAAGTTTTTTTCTGAAATCACGTCGAGATATCGATTACCAATGAGCCTGGAGTGTCTTAGCTAACCAATCAGATCATTTTAATGTACAAGGCAGTTTTGATGATTTGATCACTTACACTTAGACAGGCTGAGAGTCACCTTTGGAAAACAATTGCAAAGGAATAAATCTATTTTTGTTTTAATGGATATGATTGCAAATAATTACGAAAATAATTAGACACATGGAAGTCGATGTCTACTGTTTGAAAGGATAATGTTGAGTAAATTACTACCTTTGCTATCGCAAATCAAAGAGGCTTTACTGTAGCAGATGTGTCTGACTACTAATTACGGATTAGTCGAAATTCCTGCAGTGAGTCTGCATTATTTTCAACTTGCTCAATTTTTCAAAATTTTGTTACAAAAGATTGTGCTTAAGACTGGACTAATCAGATCAAAAAGTTTTATTTCACGAGACAAGACAAACATTGTTTGCTAGTAGTGCCTGCGCGACGCACGATTATTTGACAAAATATCTGAGATTCGACAGGGCATTTTGAAATCAGTTGCGCGCCTAACTACTCGACCTAAACAGCTTGGTTTCGCTAAATGTAACACCAGTGTAAAGCGGAGTTTAAAATGTTTCGTTTAAATTCTAAAAAATGATGAAAATGCCTTAGGAGCAATTCGTCTAACGTCTATACGGAGACATAATTTTGAGAAGTCAGTCTTGGGGCATTTGTGCACGACCCAAAACAGAGAATCAATAATCGGTATTGTTCAGGAGCATTGCACGAGGGATCGAACACGATGCTATGTGGCGCCTAACGAGCACGCCATAATAATAATTTAAGGTGGAAGCAACCAATGGATTTATCAACTTGAGACAGCCAATCAAGATTCTACAACTCTTCAACCGATCGGTGGAAAGAAAGGTGAGGTTCACTGGTTTAGCTAAATGCTCACTTACTTTTTTTGACGTTAGATCAATTCCCACAAAAACAAACCTTTCATTGCAGAGACTCTGCAGACTAACTTTCTACAACATTAATTCAGCTGATTATATGCCTACTCTCACACCTTCACTCTGATTGGGCAACACATTTCAACCCGCTTTTTACGCCGCAATAATGGATCTTTTGCCTGCAAAAAGCAGGGCGCAGGTTTATGCGGCTGGCCGACTTGAAAGATGTGCTTTTTCACAGTAGGCAAATTAACGAAGAGTCTGTTTCGCGGCCAGAGTTACACCGGCCACAAAACACTAGACATTTGATCTTCTTCACTGTTGAGCAAAAACGAAGCCTTCGCGACAAGTTATGGAACTTTACAACCCCGGTCTTTGCTCGTGGTGAATAAATTCGCAAAACTCGCTAAGAACATTGCATTTCGGTTTGCGATATTAGCCCCAACTTCGCCAAATTGAACCTTCCGATCTGGAAGAACGTAATATCTCTGACGACTTCCTCTAGAATAAAAAGAGGCCTTCAGAAATCCCCCGTTAAGCCTTAACAGCGAGATCCATGAGTAAAAGGCACTGGTGCTGTGAGAGAACCCTTTTCTGGTTGACGAGAAAACGGCGCTGTCGAGGCTTGAGAAATCGAGGTTTCTCGTGATACCCGAGGTCCCTGCGCGTCCTTCACAAGGCGTCGACACTTAACAAGCAAAAACTGACAACTGCACGCAAATTCGACTCCCGCCGGGGCGAATGTCACGCAATACCGAGTAGCAACTTCTCATCCAAGGTGTTCTTGACAAAGATTAATTAAAAGCCTCAAGCTGGATTCAGAGGCGGAAAATTAAATCGAAACCCTTAAATTTCCGAATGTAGGGGCGCAAATTAGACTTTTTCGATCTCAAAATGCCACGATTTATTTCACAAAAAAGATTAGTATGTGTAAATGCAAAGGAGAGACGCTGAAGTTTGGCTTCGTCACCCATCAAGTCTTAATTGCTCTCCACCGAGTAAATCTGCTGCTATCACAAAAGCAAAAATAGTACAAAAATAGGACATCGGATACACGACAGGCGTGCTCAATGCAGCGGACCGGTGAAGGCCAGCTTCTGGACGTGGTCATCCCGCCGCTTCGTCGGCTTGATAAAACCCAGAATCTCGAGTTGACTGATTCCGAGCAGAAAGCGACATCTGCAACAATAACAATAGCAGTGAATGATCAAGAAAGGACCCGCCCGAAAGGCAGATTTTAGATTTCTGCTCCAGAGTATACTAGTCGCTGGTGAAAGTATTAACTTGAGACTGTTCAGAAACCTGCCAGTTCTAGCCCAAAATCGTACAACGAAGCTCTGGAGTTATAGGTGTTGAAATCAAACTCCATAAATACTAGCGCCTTTGAGTGTTGTAGCAAAAAAATTTAGCTGTTAATCAGTTGCAGGTGACTTAATTAAACGGGAAAAAGGGGAGCAAACGCACGCACACACACACACACATTTAGCCACGCTTATTTGGAGCAGAGTAGGGTGGATGGGCTGAACATGTTTTCGCGCGATATGATCGGGGTTTTTTCGTCTTTGGCCCACCCGATCCAGCCCACGCGAAATAGGAGAGCACTAAAAATACTACGTGGGCGTTGAATGGGGAGTTTGTGTGTATTGGCACGAACCAATAGCGCAACAGCATGTCATCGATTAGGGCACAGGGCTCCGGACCAATTCGCGAGCAATTTGATTGGAGGGCCAAAAAGACGAAGAGAAATGCCAAGAGAAAACAAATACTCACTGGGTGAGTTGGCTTGGGATATCGTTTGGCCCGTCGGTGTTGTCACCGACCACAGTCGCGAACGCCTACAAAAAAAGAGGAGAATGGGGAATAAAAGCAACGACACGAAAACGACGACGGAGTGGTAGGGCCAACAAACACCAACGATGGGTTGTGAGGTGGTGACGAACAAACAGAGGGTGAACGTCTTAAATCACAGTAAAAAGTACCGTGCGAGAAGGCGGGAGTCAAACAAAAACAGACGCGTTCTTTGTCATCTGTAAATCAGACAAACGATTCCCAAGTCACAGCAACTTGGATAAACGAACGTACCCTTGGCAATGACAAAGAGCAAGAACAGGTGATGAGCAACTTCATTGTAAAGATTTAATGAACCAAAAAAAATTTGATCAGAAATCAATTTTAGGTGCTTGGCTTTGCGCTCTAAAGGCTAGAGGCGAGAAATGTTGCTTAGAGGTGGTAATTTAGGGTAAATCTTCAAATGTCACGCGGATAAGAACATCTTCGACGCATTCTAGTCACCGTTTCCCTACAGCCAAGGAAGTTGCTGGGGATAAAAAAGAATTAGTACAGGTTACAGATCTGACCGCTCAACAATGTCTTGGGCTCGTCAATTAGATCGACATGGAAATCCCACATGAACAGGAACCAGTACACTGGAAACAACGGATCAGCATTTGAAACATGCAAATTAAACGCAAATGGAACTATGTCAAGTTTAAGCCACAAGGCACTGCTAATGATTCGTCGGATTGCCTACAATAACATTCACTACAAAAATAATTGCTTTCCAAGAATGAAGAAGCACCCAAAGGCACCTTAAAAGCTGCGCTGCATCAAAGACAGACCATTCTGTCGATTTTTTTGGGCTGCGTAATTAGAAGGTGACTCCACGGCGTAGTTGGGAGGCATGCACACGGCCGGAGAGGGCGCTCCTCTGCCATGCAACGCCCAAAATATGCTATTTGGGGAATTCAGTAAAACAACAACAACAACAGCAGCTCATTAACAGGCGCCACGCCCAAGCGTGGCCTGCGGTCGCACGCTGGCGTCTGCCCGATTCCCGCTTGAAGGCACTTAACACTGTCTGAAAAAGACAAGAACCCGGTGCCAGCAAGTCGATAACGCTGATTGTGCAGGGAATGACCGCAGTACCACTGGAGTGAGTAGGGTAAATCTGAGCATTTCTAATTAATGTGGCTTTCACTGTTAAAGAATACGAAGAAGACGGATGCCAATTGGTTACAGAGGCGGAGAAAGGAATGATGATAGAATTGAAGAGCAAACCAGTTAATGCCATAATCCTGATAACAGTCGAAAAACGATATCGAATCGCCATTGCCCACCCACCGGTTATGTGGAAAAGGCGGGTCTTTGAGAAGACACAGCAACCCTTCACACACACACAAACGCGTCACACTTCAAGACTCGATTGGAGCGGCCAGGGACTTGGGCTAGACGGTGGCCGGCGACCCCTTCTTTAGGCGAATCGCGCACAGAGTGGAGTGCGTCGCATCCAGTGGGCGAATCTTGATTTACTACTCACTCGACCACCCGCGCGCAACAAAAAAAAACACGCACACACACACACACATAAAACAGTGAGTTAAGTGCACCGTGTGGGGAGAACGGGGTGAGTGGGAGCGATGAGGGAGGTAGGAGTGTGTGGGGTACGATGGTAGAGCGTTGCTACTGATGCTGCCTTGTTATTGGAATGCAAGCTGCACGTACGCCGGTGGATGATTCTGTGCGGGTGACGTTTGCGTGGCGCTAGTGACGGTGGTGACTAAAATGACAACTGTCCGACGCCCTCCCACCGAAGCAGTGGTGCTGGGAGGACCCGCTGAATAATTGATGGATTCCACGCGAACAACCTCACACAACTTGTCGTTCTCAAAGAACGGATGTCTGCGAATGGCATACCGCTAGATTTTACTCAAAACCCCTTTTTTCGGTTGGCGCAAGTATCTCCAATGCGTTTAGACTGAGTGGAGAGCTTAAAATGACTTTAATCGAGAGTGCCTTTTTTTTCAATTTGGCCCAAAAAGACATACCTACTCGCTAAATGACGTTTCAGGAAGTTTGCCATTGAAAAAGAGAACTAACACCAGGAAAACTAGTGCGGAGTCTAGCAAAGTTGGAACTAAGGAAAAACAAAGCTACGCAAAACAGGCCACGACAGACAGCAGCACATCTTCTACACGAAATTTCACAAAATGTGGCGACTGCCCAACTACACATCGGTGGATGTGACCGTAGTTGTCGCAGCAACAACGGGATGAGTGCGCATCCGCCGTGAGACCTGCTTGATGATGAATACGGATTTGCAACATGGACTACGGTGGATCGCCGAGATTATGCCTCATCCAGTCAGAAAAGACTGCGGAGTGTTACGATGGTAGGAAAGTCAACGCTCGAAACGTGCCTTGCCCGGCGGAGCACTGTACCCTCACAAAAATATGCGTCAACCAGTCTCTGTTTGGAGATGTTTATCTTGGAGCGACGCGCACGTCCGCACCGGAGCAGAGGAGGGAGGGGGGTGTGGACCCGTGATCCTATCGCGACCCCCCGCCCGCCTTCCCCACACCCAACTCCGCACGAAGGCACGTCAATCACTTCCGACAAGTGTAAAAAAGCTACCAGAGAAAAGAGCTGTAGAAGAGGAGACTTACGATGAGCCAGTCGTGGAGGTTGATGAGTTTGCCCGCCTCCAAATACAGCTTGAACAGAATGCACAGGTCGGGAAGGTGAGGCTCCACGCTGTCCGGTGAGGAGAGAGCGAGTTGAGGACACTAGAAGAAAAACCAAGTCGTAAAATTGCCAGAAATTCGAAAAATAACAAAGGGTAAATATGGAAGCAGCGGTTGAGTGGGCTAAAACTGATATAAAACTCAAACCACCTAGTCATACCAACCAACCTATCTCAATCCACCGTGTGAATAAGTACTAGTCGAAAACAGAAACGCACTTGAGCTATTTCGTCTACAACGGGAAACGCAAATGTTTACTTTCCCTTTCCAAAAAATCAGCAACATATATTAGAAAACTTCCCAAGAAAATAATGTGGGATTCCGAGATTATTTTGGGGAGATCAAATCAAGTTAATTTAATCCAATCCCGTGAAAGCCGACAGACGAGAGGCATCAAAGCAGGCGACGTCAATAGCCACAAAAAATTGGTTAGTTTTTGACGAAAAAAGGGCAAGGTTGGTCGTGCTGGTGACGGAAGTGCCCAAGCCGATCCCCTTTTGAAAAATTCCCATAAAGACATGGCGTCTGCCACTTCTTAACTCAACGTCAAAAAAACATGCAGGAGCTCGGAGCCGACTAGATTCGTTGATGTTTGTCGCCCAGAACGGGTCTCCTTTGCGAATCAATTTTGGCAGTGCTGATTGAATAAAAAGCACCACATTTCTCACATTCAAAGCGTACAAGCATGACCCAAACGGCATAGTGAGGCACAGAGGGAATAAGAGCGCATCACACCGTGGCCGATTCCTGTTTAAAAGTCAATTTTCCTTGCCAAATGGTTAAGCGTATCAAAAAACAAATGCCTCCGGTGTACAGGCGTTCGCAGTGTTCAAACCTCATACAGCTGGCCTTGTGAATGTAAAAAAAACCGAACAAACTTCCGGAAAGAGAGGCTTTGTAAGCAGTGCACACCTACACAAAAACGGCGGACACATCAACGTGGTCTACAGGCGTGTTTCGTCACTGATGGGGATCCAGCAGTCCCAAGACAATTCCCCTAACCACGCCGCTTTAATGGGTGAGTCATCCACGGCACGCTACTGACAACCACATCTGTGTTAATCAGAGTCGGTCCACAAGGTCAAGGTCATCCCTGATTCAAATAAGTGGGCAGATTCTGACCGATCACTCAGCCATTGGCTGAGACGACCAAAGCTCCGCACGACGATGTTCAGAGTGGGAGGGTGAGGGCTAGCGTCTGACAAGGGACCTGGGGTACCGGTTATCTGTGTGGTCGTGGTTACGGGCAAAGCGTAACAGTAACAAACCCCAAGCACTGCCGCATTTTCTTCACTCTTCACACCGATTTTCTTTTTTACCGGACCAACCAGCGTCATTTTCTCTTTTGGTCATCCTTACACGCGTTCGAGACGGAGGTGGGTGGAGCTGTGCGCAACGGCGATTTGATGGCGACATTTCGGAGACAAATTGCTACACTTTCACCGCGGATGGTCCACAATGACCGTCCGACATGGAAGCAGACCTCAGGCATGCATTTACTCAGGCTGGTCGGAGCAAGAGGAGATGCAGCCCAATAAGACTGGCACCGCACAAAGTGTGCTTACAATTAAACAACAACAACAACCACCACAGAATCCCGTACCTTGAGATGAGTCCCGGGGTCAGTCAGGGCCTGGTGAACAACGCGCTGAAGTGGCGGATCGATGCGCTGCTTGAGGGCAGCAAGTTCGCCGCTCGGCGGACCGTAGAAGACCTCGTGAAGCGGCATGGTGTGCGGGGCGGGAATGAGACTGTGGGATCCGGACGACGCCTTCGGTGCGAGGGCGTCGCAGACCCACTCGAAAAACCCGTCCAGGGTGCTCTTCCACGTTGACGAGGAAGACTTCCGGGTGTTGGCAGTGTCTGGGCTCTTCGCTGGAGACGATTTCAGTTGCTGAAAGGCGAACGCAAGCTTATTATTATTGACGACTTCCAACCGTAGGGCACAGGGCTACAGCGAAAAAGGCATTCAACAAAAATTATATGAGATAGAACCTTCAATGAGTCGATTATGGACTCCACGACCAACAATGATAAACGGACAGTAAATAGCATAACCAACAATGACGCAATGAGTGAGTGAGTGATCGATGTGGGTATTGGTGATAAATATCAGGGAAAACAAGACAGTGGGTTACACATTTGTTCAGCCGTTATAAGAAAATGACAACATGGCGGTACTCCACTGGGCCATTTGTCAATTTCACGTTGACCCTAGCAGAGCTAGAGCCCAGTGGCGTACGACAGAGAAAACAGGATCCCAAGAGAGATTTGCATTGCCCCAAAATACACAAACTCGATACACAATTTCTAGCAGAACTCTCCAATTCCTCAACCACGTAGGTTTCCACAAAAACACAAATCCACCATCGCTTCTGACGAAAGGATCTCACGTGACACGACTGCGCTGGTCCATTACACATTGCACCGCCCCAGAGTCCACCAAACCCTGCCATTGACGGCTGCCATTAAAGCGGTCAGCATTGCATACAACGCTTGGTACATGATCACTTTTGAGTTCCAAATGCATCTCTTTCGAGTCGAGCAGAAACAGTTGCTTGCGTTGTCTTGGGAGTGACCAATGCAAGAAGAGATCACTTCAACTCCGAACAACAGAAATGAGTCAACACAACGAAACCGCATTAAGAGGTTGACCTCCAAAAAGGTCCGATCCACGAACACACAACAAAGGGTTGGGAATCATTAATGAGACACGAGAAGAATTGAAGATTGAACAAGTGAGCAATGAAGTGGACTGGCAAAATACCCTAGCACACCCACAAACACACGTCTCCACGTCTTGCATGAAAATTGCAGGGCTACTTCACCACATCGCCTAGTCTATTCGTCAACTAGGAAGGCATTCACACTAAGCACCCGAGAACAAAGCTAGGTGGGGAACAAAATGCACCTTCCACCTGTCACTGCATTTCACGGTGGTACAACAATCGAATCGCAGCGGTGCCTTAACCTGAAGGCGAACTACTTTGTGTGCAAGAGCGGAAATTCACCAGCGTGGGCGAACAAGTGCCCACAACCAACACTAATTCGACCAACCACCAGCCAATCCACGTGACTCCTCAGAATACGATCACTCAGGCGTGAACACGGTGCTGGCGGAAATCTCCCTCATTTCCCCGCCCACCACCCACCACCCCCCCAGTTTGCACTAGCCCCGCGCTGCTTCTTCTGCACCGCCGTTTCCGCTTCACACCCAAACCCAACAACCCTTTGGCCTCACTGCACACGCAAAGTCGATTAATTAGCGCTAGAATGAGCCGAGCAAAGTCATAAAGCCACGGCATATTTTCTGCAGAACACTGCGCACACCCGACCAAACCACGCCGAGAATTCTCACACACACACACACACACAAACTCACAGGTCCACTGGGGCCACACTGTTCCCTTGTGAACAGACCACTGTTCCGTAGGGCGATGGCGGAAGCACACGAATATTGTGAATAAATAGTCGTTGTAACCCGATCTGGCTTTCTTAGCACGTGGATAGCGAAACATTAATGCCATGTTAAAAGGAGGTTTCGCGAAATATTGTTTGTAGGCACTTGTTTAGGGCTACTTTTTAACGAGGTGTGCAAGAACGCATACTGTCGACGTATCACGCAACCCCCATTTGCGTAGAGTCCGGAGAATCGCCAAATAACGACATAACGCTCTCTACGCAAGGGTTTACGAAAGTGAGTGCTTGACAATGTCTTGTCTACTCGTTAAGAGGCTCGGTTTGAGATTTTCGCTTGAACGGAAATCGATACACTGGATAGCATTTGCGGCACGCAACTCGAATCATTCGCTACTGCTCAGGATTTGTTGGATTGTCCCCAATTGCAGCACTCGAAAATGATCGTGGCCTCAGCATGCCGAAGCAGCATAAGCCCCATCGAAGGCTAACTAGCGCCAACAACAGACTGCGAAGTGTGATTCTGTGGTGGCACGTCGTTAGACGGCTCCAAGAAACGTAACGATCAATGCAGGTGTTTAACTGTTAGGAAGTAGTTGGACGTGATAAGGGAGTAGTCACCGAAGAACAGTGAGGATTGGCTGATTGCAATATATTCGTGTTTTGCCATGAGAATACATGGCCGTAAACGCAGACTTGGTTACCAAGCCATGTCGCCCAGACTCTACGTCCTTAAACGGTCAATTAGTCAAGGCTTCCAAATTGGTTTGTAGTATCCCCTCAACACGATACAAGTAAAAATTTAAATCCGCAAAATTCTGAGCCTCAAGACCAATTATTCTCGCCTTAAATTTGGTGATACTGGTACAATTAAATGCGCCGACAATGTTTTAACAGTATTTAAACAAACGCAAGGCGCTTCAATGACAATTTACACTAAAAAAGGAGGGTGAGTTGACACGACATTAAGATTAATCACAGTGACCAAGCTTAACGAGAATGAACAGGGCCGTGCACGCGCTCCACTCTGTCATGATTAGTGAAGCTGGTGACAACTAACGTGCCGTGCAAAAGACTAATGGAAAAATTGCACAAAAAGTCAGCAAAAACGCAGTACAATTAAGCCCAAACGCGCTGGTTTTATCTTCGTCTAAAGTATGATTGGTTGTGGTTGCCAGCCAGCGCGGGGGATTCGGGTGACTAACCATCGAGAAGGCAGCATAATTCATTTTAACGATGCTTTTCAAAATGTTCAACCAATCGTGATCAAATGATACGACGCACCAAGAGGCACATTCGCAGGGGGACCCAACCGGCTTGAATGGTAAAAGAATGAACGCACACAACTTAATACGTTCTGGCAATGGCTTTCGAAGTGTTTAAAACAGCGAACAAACTTCGTGTGTGAAGGTGAATGAATATGAAAGTTCAAAGTCATTTTGGCCACCTTTAGACCCGTCTCCAACGCGTGTAAGAATGACGCAGAGAGAAAACGACGTGCATTTTGATTGGTCCGGTGTAAAAATTCTAGCTCCACTGAAAACGGCCGTGATGAATTACATCAAAAACAGATCAGGCTGTCGACTTCGGGAAGCTTACGGTGTCACATATCATGAGCCGCCTCTAAGCAACAAAACTGGCAATGGGGATATTTCCTGTCAGCAAGTGCCACCATTATTGATGTGAAGGTAAAGACGAGGGGCTACAGTTTGCGTGAGGGAGCGTCAAAATGTGTTTTGACATTACTAATAATATTTTTTTCAGTTCTCTTTCTCATTCTCAAAAGCCTTGGTTAATGCTACGCTTCCCTCAAAAAATTGCCTTCAAATGGCCACATTCTTGAGTCGAAGCAACACCAAAGAGAACCCCCCACATCGCTGCACACAGGGAAATCGGTTAAATTTGTACTTTTATCCCATAATTTTCCACCCACAGGCAAATTTATGGCAGATTCACACATTCTACGTCACACCGACAGCTTGTGTATGTGTGCATCCACCAGGTCAAGGCCACTCGGCACGAAGCCTCGTCCTTGACCTCTACGAGTAAGGCGGCATTTGTATTGGTTCCTTGAGGGTGCCGTTTTAGTTACGAGCAAAACACACCAACCCGCAGCCTTTCAAATAGACCTGCATCGTCTAATGCTGAAAGTGGGAAGTGGCACTCACCTCACGCAGTTTCTGCAGCGTCAGACGTTTGGCCGACACACCGTCGAAAGGGTTTTGCTTGGACGAGACAGGCGACTCCGAGTTGGCTTGGCCAGGTGACGATTCCGAGCAGGCTGGGGGGTCTTAAGGGAACAACAAACGGCAAGACACGTTAAAAGGGTTCTCATTGGGACACCACCGCTGCACTCGCACACTCAGACACCTTGCTCTCTTCACACACACAGTTATCACTGTCCATGTGGACGCGTCTGATCGTGTACTTTCCCCGTCACTTCATAGGTCCCTCCCAGCCATCTGCGGAAAATTTTATTAAGCTGTCGTGAATCGTGTTTATTTAACCCCTTAATCCGGTCGCTCCACCTCCGACACAGGGTTCCCTTTTTCGCAGCATGTCGCCAGCCGCGCGGATCCTCAACTCCCCCTTCATTCACACGAACATTTATCTTGCATTATCCTCACACCTAGGTCTCGATGTTAGCGCATGTATGACTCACAAATCTGAGGTATAAATACACACGCGCAAACGCCACACACGACACAACAACACCAACGTGGTTGAACTCTGAAGTGAACGGTTGTGTCCACGTCCTCCCCGATCTTTTTCTTCATCGCGGGTATCAGGCAAGCGTGATCGGGCCAGGGTCAATTCCGTGGCCCCGGCGTGGTTCAAGACCACATGCTGGGGCCCACAACAAAGCCAAGAAAGTCCAGAAACGGTGACCACGACGCAGCCATATAGCTAAGCCCGAAGCCTTGACAAACTTGACCACGTTGGCTAGACTCGTGATTCTTGCACAATCCGTGGCGTGTGTGTGTGTTCTGCTGAAACGGCATAAGCGACAACCTCCCTCCTAAGTCAGAACGACACAGCCCATTTTGGGCAAATTGGAGCTAAGTTTAGCCGCTGGTTGATTGGTTGTGGGATGCATTTTTTTGCATGAGTGTTCTGCACTCGGGGCTAACCACAATCAGGTCTAATTGAGCATTTTTTGCTCCACAAACAACGAGGCAGCAGTGACACCGCGACAGGACTCAACATTAATCGTTGGCAGACGCTGGGCGAGGGGACAGGGGTGCGATGGTGGGGGTTGGGGGGAGGGGGCGGGGGAAGGGAGAGGAGGAGGAGGAGCAATGTTACAATCTGCGGGTAGGAGTAACCGCGACCAAATGGATACATCACGCGTCGTCGTGTGAAACACCCAAACACGCACACGCACACACACACACAGAGGGACACCTCCGATGTCAATTTAAATTGTTAAAAAAAGAGTGATTATAAACTTCGGGTCGCATTAGTTAAATTACGCTAGTGGTAACTGTGCGAAAAGAGAGACTGGAGAGAGAGAAACGAGGGAGTAGGGGGAACGCAGAATGCAATCAGAAGGGGATTTTTGTGGGGAAAAAATCAAAATTTTGGGAACAGAATTTCGAGGAGAGTACTAACTACGAGGGGAGTTAGAAGCGGGAAGAGCTCTGATTAATACCAAAAAGCTGAAAACCGCGAACCTAAAACCGACACATCCAAGCCAAAAGGTTGCTGGTGAATCTAGCCAATTAACGGCTGTCCACCGATTAAATTCATTTGCTAGGGTCTTCTGCTAGGTCACCCAATCCCGTGTCAGATTAACAACCACCTGATTTCCCCCGCTGAGAACCTGTTCGCCAAAGCATCCCGAAGCCCTACAGTCAATCGAGTGAACAGCCAGAGACGACGGTGTAGTCACCAGTTGAGCCACGATCGCCTTCGATCCTCCCATTCATCTGTGTCGGATCGGGCTACAACAGCGAAATTAGTTCAAATTCTAACTCTCACAAAACGATTTCACCAAACACTGCCATTTTCCAGACGCGGTTCCCCCAGACTATCGCCATTTCCAGATCAACATTGAAATAGCGATGGATTTCCATACTGCACAGGCAATTTCAGTGGGGCTTATTTGGGGTAAAATTTTAGGTGAACAGATTGTTAATTAAATATGCCATAATAAAAGTAAAAATTAACGGCCGAGGTTATCTTCAAGAACATCACTCAATTTGCTTCGATATTGGGTTAACTCGAACTAATTTGTTTACAATTAGCCAAATTTAGTTTTGCCGCCAATCACAAGGATTCTCTTGGTGACATGTGACCGCGGTTAACGCACGAAACGACGCCAACCAAGTTAGCCGAAAATCATTGAGTAAAGGAGTGCAAGCACGGTCGCTTCGTGATGGATGGGTCTGGAAAGTGGCTTCCAGCCATCCAATTGGTTACCTCCCAGGCTAAATGTGATTGGTTAACCCGACAGCTAGATGCACACCAAACATTGGCTTAGGTACGTTACGAAGTGAAGTGGTACAAACTATTGCGGGCAAGTTGGAGGCCGGTGGAAATTGAGTTCCTCTCAACCGAACGCTAGTTTAGCCATCTGAAGCACTACTAGAGACGGGTTTAGCCGTTTAAGAAAACCGTTCATGCAACCTGAACCTATTAGCCATCAAACACCAATGTTGGTCGCTCGTGAAGACTGACACAGGCACAAATACAATGTTAATTGGACCAAGCGCTAAGAACACCAACATGTTTGAGATTCAAAAAAAAACGCAAAATGCAATAAAGTCGGAGTTGTGGGAATAATCTCAAACCAGCAGAATTTTCAACTGGTCCTTAAAAAAGTTTTCCTCTAAACCACTAAAACGTCCGTTTTTAATCCGAAATTTCGCAAAATTTTAACCTACCTTAAAAAGATGCATTTTGCCACACAAAGCATCACCATTTCACATTTAAAAAAAGCTTGTGTGTGTGGGTGTTGAAGCCTTATTTAAAAGGGTGCTGCGGTCACAATAAATAAAATTAACCCGTAGGAAAAACGTCTACCGCCTTTTTTGATCAACTAAGGGGTGGGGTGGGGCGAGGAGCCAATGAGAAATGTCGAACCTGACGACGACGACGACAACAGGAAACGCGGAGCCTAATTAATGTGCGTGTTGGCACGAAATGCGGATTTTCGTTGGGGGAAATAGGGAGAAAAAGGAGAAGCAAATTGAGCCAGCATGGCGAAGCGGTTTGGTTTAATTGACTCGTAAAAAAGGGAGGAAAAAGTCATAAAGCGTTGTAGGCAGATGGAGACAACGATGTTGAAACGACAAAAGTGGGACAATGGTTTGCATAGTAGTGATTTCTTTCTTGAGAGACGAACTTGCAAATCATTCTCTGGTATTAGCTGTGAATCGGTTCGTGGTGTCAAAGTTACGATGCTTCCAAACAATTCGTAGCCTGAAGTTACGAGGCTTAGCGTACGCCCACACCAATTCCCCAAGTTACCGCACGATTCCTTCCAGATTTGCCAATTCTGGTCTTACTTCCTTGACACCTGATGACAAGAAATATCCTCATTGACAATTTAGTTGCTTGGAGACGGCTCAAGACATGTAACACGTCCTCCGTAAGGTTCCCGAAGTCGACAGCCTGATCTGTTTTTGATGCAATTCATCACGACCGTTCTCAATCGATACAGAAGTGATATAGTCGCAGGTATGACATCATGACGATCAGCGAGCGAACACGAATTCAGTGGATTTACTTAAATGCATTCCACGCTCAGAGATCAATGTTTGGTGTGTCCTACACAACCTGACAACTTGCAACTCAGTACACCCACGTTATTACTGTATCAATGCATACGTTGAACTATGCGTTATTTGCAGTCTTCTGTTTCTCTTGATCGGAGCCTGGATCCAGCACAATAGAGTTTGCGAGAAATTGGATTCAGTTCTGTGCTATGAAGCCTTGTTAGCACCTATCAGTCAATTCTAGCATGGCGTGAACCAGGGAACGTTTTCGACAAATTTAAACCGCTGAGGCGCAGTGTTGGTGGCTCTGCAGATCACACGTGTGTCAGAATCAATTTTGAAATTACGTCCTCGAGATTCATCGCTCAAAGTCGACCCAAGTCAGAGTTGAAGATGACCAATGTAAGGCCTTAATTGAATCCAACAGAGAGCATACAAGTGTGCGAGGAATTGCAAAGAGTAAGACTAGTACGACGCACACAAACACTTAGAATTCACCCAAAATGGCTTGGACTCATTGACAAGGTCGATATTTGGTTTCCTGAGGAGTTGAAATTCACTTAAAACAACCCATACGCAATGCAATCGTCCCTTCTAGAAACGATTCATCCCTCACGTGGAACACTACTCGAGGTGGACTGTGGCTGACAACTTTGACAGCCCGCACGTTAGCCGAGTTGATCAGTAGTTTGTTCAACAGTCAATAGCAAAATAGAACCGTGTAAAACGGCGTGACATGATTTGAAATCACAATTAAATTTCTCAATCTCAGTCTTCGGCAACTGTAACAAATGATACCCGGCTACGACTGGCGTGTTTTCACATTGTCCCCATTTTTTAAGCCTTTTTTATTGCACCCTTTCGAGTTATGTGGCGATCTCAGGCCAAATAGTAGCGTCAAATACGGATAACATCAATTTTAAAAACGACCACAGAGTGGGCTTGATGAGGCGGTAAACGCCTCATCCAATTGGTGTGAGTACAAGGGAGGTGTTGCACCTTCTGACTTGCCGCCATCTAGCCAACTTATCACCTCAGGTGCTTGCTGTCAGCAAGTAGACAACCAATCAGAATCGTCTTTGATTAGATGGGTGGATCCATCGTGTGGCCCTGGCGTGGCACCAACAGACTTACCTGCCTGCAAAAATCGTTGAGTTGTCACACTTACACTAATCATGCTGACGACGTGGAACCGCACTAGGATTTAATTAAGCGTAAACCTCGTTGAAAATTTTCCTGCGCATTAAAACACCAACAAGACAGCAGGGGAACGGGGGAAAGTGGGAAGAAGCGTGTCAACTAAGCAAAGTCACGCACTAATTTAGTGTGTCGGTGTTAACTGCGACAGACGCGAGAATCACGAATTGCTCGCGGTCAATTATTTGTGGCATTATAAAAAAGAAAAAGAAAACGCGAAAAAGATGCGCGAAAAAAAACGACAAGGAGTCGGGCTCACTCACCCTGGGAGGAGACAGTGGCGAGCCGATGACGCCAGTCAGTTACCGTGGCCTTGAAGTGTGCCAGCACCTCGAGGGCCTCAGAGAGACACGCCTTCCAGCGGTAGTCCTCGAGGACGCACGCACCGCCAGCGACACCCTCGACCAATGAGCGCCGGCGTGTTGTTCCGGTGGGGGCGACGGGGCTGGCGTCGCTGGGCGGGATGGTCGACTTGGCCACGACCAGGACTCCCATGGAGGCCTGCAGGTTGCCGATGGAGGCGTCGATGGAGGCCATGACTTGCGTCCTGTCCAGAGCCCTAACCAAGCGAGCAGTGAGCATTAGTGATCCAATTACACGACAATTTCGGCACGAGGAAGGCAGCGACAACTGTTTTGTGCATTCAAATTGGAATAAAGTGTAAATTGTGCTCGCAGTACACATTCAGCTCAGAGCGTTCTCGAAATGTCCACACTTCGACAGCGATGGTGAACGAGAACTCACTTGAACAACTTAACAGTCTGCGCGAAAGTGCCTTCGTTGACTAGGCGTGCGGAGAGCCACTCGCGATAGAGATCGGTCAGCTAAAATCGTAAGACGGGGCATTTACGAAGCACACGGGTGCCATAGCATATGAGCAAAAGCAAAAGTAAACTACTATTTTGTATTCAGTAGAAATATTTATAAACTGGATCGAAGTTCCCATGATGAACTAAGGTGCATCAAAGATGGACTGGAAAAATTGCAGTTATAAAGATAAGGTAAATGAGAATAAAAAATTCACAAAAATGCATAAGAGGTGCATCGAATGAAACCACACAATGGCGCTCAGGCAACAGCCCACAGCCCAATGTACATCGCCTACTCCAGACAACGATTGGTTCAGCTGGGCGTAAAACAACCACTTGCAACTCACATTGCTGCCCATCGGACGAATCGATAAGTGTTCAAACAACGCCAGGAGCCAATTAAGAATCGGCGGAAGAATCAGCTGAGTGAGCCAATGACGTTTAAGCATCTCGCACAAGACATCTCGAGTCTGCGGCTTTTCCCCTCCCTCCGAAACAGCCTCTTCATTCTCCTTATTTTCATTAGATGAGTTTTTGAGGTGAGACAGTGAGGGATACATGGAGAGAAGACGCGCGATTTCCCCGTCTCCCAACGACTCGACGTAGGCTTTGGCCTCGCGCAGAGGTGCCAACAATTTCGCGTGCGGCAGAGTCAGGTAGTGGGTCAACATGGCTAGCTATAAGGCAAACAAAACGATCAACCGAGCCACAATATGTGCCCCTAAATCTTGTATTTATCAACGTTCGCATCACCTTGTATCGCTTGAGCAAGTGTTCAATGGAGTAGTCGAGGCAGTTGTAGAGCGAGTCGATTAAAAACGACATGAGTCCACGGGAAGCGCGGAATCCAGGCACGTGAAGTAACTAAAACGGAGGTTGGATGCGTAAACAAATTCGGCTCCGTTTTTGAAAGGGTATTTCGATGCTTAATCGGGTCCCTTTCCAGCACACGAGAGCTCGTGGGCGCGCACCGTAACACGGCCTTACCTCGGTCAGAGCAGCCTGCAGAAACACTGATGGCGGGGGCATGTGAAAGCGTTTGATGGCCAATCGGGAGAGGGTTTGGGCGTCGCAGCGGCTCTCAAAGCCGAGGTCGGCTGTGCTCGAGACGCCGAAGACAAAGCACACCGGAAGGCGCTTTTGCGCGCTGTTCAAGTAGATCGACGTGATGTGGATGAAGTCGCGGAGGACGGGGGCGGAGATCGCCTCCACGGCGGGAATAATGATGACCAGAGGCCCGGACCGCGTTTTAATGGCTGAAAGTCGAGAGAAATTGGTGAACGAACGCATCACCGCCATTCACTTAACTGCCCGTTAAGCTGGGTCGGAAGTCGCTCTGGCCGAGCTACCATCAAAAAACCCCGGTTTCTGGCAATTAGGCCCGAAATAAGTTGGAAATTAGGAAAGCACTGGCTTACGGTGGGCGGAGGCTTTGGGAGTTGCTGGTGATTTGGGCGTTGATCGTCCAGGCATGCCGGTCATGCGACGACCACGACGGGCAACTGACCTCGGTCCTGCCGTTCTAGCTGGATGATAGCTTGCGCGAGAATGCGGAGTCTGACGAACTGGTGTATTTTCAGATTGCTTCGGTGATATTTTCCGGGGAGTGTTTAGCGATAAAGCTAAAGCAAAATGCAACCTAGACACACCTACTCATGGCGACTAGGTAGACTGTTCAAATTTTAGTTCTCAAAATATTGGACGCAAGCAGTTAGCAGGCTAACTTACACTTTACGCCTTCCACCAAGTCGGAAGTAACTTGTGTATCCTAGAAAAGAAAAAAACAGAAATTAGACGACAGATAAATACCACTTTACCATGAAAATTCGAAAACACGTACGTATCCATAGTACCAAATAGATATCGCCAATAATGTCGACCTTAGAGATGGTGGAACGCTCACCTAAAAAAATAAGTCAGTCGTATTTATTGAATCCCAAGTCAATGTAAAGTATGGTAAGATGAGGTTGAATGATGAATTTTAACAAGGTCACAGCAAACATTAGTTGCGCTTTTAAGGCATCAACAACTAACAGGGTAAACTGTACCCTATAGCTTACCAGATCCGAAAAACCATTCGGTGGAGAGCCTTTATTCGAAGGCGGAGTTGTATCAACCCCGTCCCCAACAGACAAGTCCTTCCGCGTTGTGAACTGTTGCACAGCAGACGTGATAATGTGTCTTGCTGAAGAAGTATTCGACCCGGTGTCAATAACTGCAACGTGGCCACCTTTGGTAACCAGTAATTTTTTCAGCTGGGCGAACAATGAGTCGTTGTCAGGTGTGTTTACACTGGCTAGCAACAACGCCGTGGGGATCTGGCCAGTAGATGGTGTTTTCATACACGTTTCATACATTGTGTTGATGTATTTAGCAACTTCGACGCAGTTTTGATTCGAAAGATTAATTATTCGACGCTAAATTGAATAACTTCGAAACTAATTATCTACCTCAATAATGTTGGAAATGGTATTCCAGTCATGCGAAAAGGCATCATGAACGGGATCTTTGCGAGTTGGAACTAGGCGACAAAAAAATTAAACGTTACAATAATAAAGAATTTCTTTTAGATAAGCCAAAGAAAGTACAAAGCCAGCATTATGCACACTACCTTCGCCACGTTTCGTGCAAACCTTGATACCCTAAAGGGAAAAAAAATTGTTTGAGAAACGTTGTGGTTAGAACATTCAAGCTTCCATGTATCGAGTTTATTCAGGATACACCTATGTATCACAAGCAAAGGGCTAATTTTACAGTGAAGCTATATCAACACAATGTCCAAGTTAATAAAAAGCGTAAACATCAGCGCCAAAGTTTAGGTAGCAGTATCACAAAATTCAGGAATATTTAGACAGTGGCGGCATAATAAAGGCGATAGTGCTGTTCTCAGCACAGGCAAACCTACTCAATAGAAATGCTTAATGAAGCTATTGTAGGCGTTTCCTTCAAAATCGATTGCAAAAATATACAAACTCCTACCGAAAAATAATTCAACAGCGTTTCAACTTTTCGTGTTTGCACAGTTTTAATATTTTCCGATATAGACAGTAAATTTTATGCAACAAGCTAGAAAAACGGACTTTTATATACCATAATGGCTGAATTCTGGACCAACAATTAAGCAGCGAAACGAGAAACTCACACTCATCGTCAGAAAAGCGCGCAATTGAAAAATAGGGTTAAACAAAGGGGCGACAACATGACGTTCAAAGTAGGTGTGTACATTTTAGATTAAAGTTGGGCATAACTAAAGCAAACCGACAATAAAAAATCAATCTGCTTGTTTAAGACATTGTCTTTGATGTTTTTGACTGACCTTACGTTGATGGCCCCCAGCAAGTCGCAAAGTACTGATGTTCTTTAGAAAACAAAAAGATAAAATGACAAAAGTGAACCCTAGTTAAAATTTTAAAGCTGCTCTATGTACTGAAGTGAACTGTGCATAAGCACAACTTAACCCCCTTACATTATTGCATGACCAAAATTTGTTTGGCAAAAGTGTGCAATTTAATTAATTATTGTTACTATGTTTTGCTTATTAGATTTCGAAATCCTACCTCATTTTTGATGGTTTTAAAGTAAGGTATTGCCGAATGCAAAAGTACTTGTAAAAGGTCGCAATGGCTACAATGGAAAATATTATGTGTTTTGCGGCAGTTTGAATGTTACAGCGTATCTCAATCATGTATTAATTAGTCTTTCTAAACTGACATTCTAGTCCGAGATATTTAAAAATAATGGTGAGCAAATGTGACTTCTTCGTCGGACTAAAGTTCTTTTAATAAAAAGCGATGGTTTCAGCATGGTTATTTTATTAGCGACAGCCACGTTAATGAACTTAACTCATTTCCAAGTAATGATGGAAATGTTCCACATCGTAGTTGCGTCGTACACTGATGAAGTTAATAGCTTGTTTTATACTAAAATGGCTACTGGCATTGTATTGTGTAATTTCTTTCTGTCTTCAAAATCTTAATTGGCTAGAACCATTCGATGACTCTCTTCATTATAGTAAAAAATTTGATAGAATTCGTTTGTCTTTACTGTCAGACGGCTCTGTTATTTAGCAGAACGTTACCGCTAGAGGACAGAGACAGAATAGAATGGATTTGACCATTTGTTTGCATCAGGCCATCCAAGATGTCCTGTGAGCGTGAATATGTGGTATTACCGTTTGGTAACATAAGCAACTAGTCACAAATTACACATTAAAACGTCAATAAGCTTTATTTAAGCACATCCGCTTTCAGTTGACCACTCTATCCAGAACGGGATTTAACACGATTTAACATGATGCAGGGAAAAAGAAATCAAAACCAAAGAAATAAGAAAAACTTTTTAATAAAGTATTCTGACATGGTGTGTGTTGAGAGTCTAGAAGTAAGAAACATCCTGGTTTTATAGATGAGCTAGCATTAAACCATAGTTGGATGTTTAATTACACATATTGACAATCTAGGTAAGAAATTGGCGCTAAATGGATTTAAGTTTAGGTTGCCAATGGTAGGTAACGCGCCGTGAAAACGGGATCTATGTGTAGAATTATGTAAAGAATGGATTAATGGACTTTATGTATTTTTCAAATTTGCATAACTAACGTTTGACAGCTTTCTCTAAAAATTTGAGATAGTTCACCCGCATATGCAGAAATCCTGTCTGACATCGCTCACTTTCATTGTTTGAAAACTCAAACGCAAAAACTACGTGATCATTTCTGCCAAACTATGCATGCAATTACTAATGCATTTAGAAGTATAACATGCCTGGACATGACAAGATGGCGTTAGGGAAGTTATACAGATCTATTGAAACAAAATGCAGACAGTAGTTTCCAGTATCATGGCTTAGACCAATTATGGACAAGAGGTTTGCTTATATAGTTGACCCAGGTTGCCCGTGTCCGCCCATTGGCTCCGGTTTGGCTTCTAGATATCAAAAGACAAACTTGTAAGCTTATTGGATATTTGGGCTGTGGCTCTCCATTCAAAACTTCACAGCCCCACGCAACCGGAAGTCACACCACCACTCATGTGATGCCGCCACCATGTCGCGCCGCTGGCTCTCGACCAATGGCTGAACACCTATATAGCGGCCATCTGCCCAGACGCTAAATTTCACCCCCTCAAGGGGGAAGCTGTCCCTAGCTTATCATCAACCTATGCAGTCGCTATTTCGACGGTGTTTTTTAACTAAGGGTAGATCGCAGTGCATAATAGGTCCTTCCTCATCTCCTTACACCTCCGCCAGATATGGTTTGAGCTTATTAAATTGAACCGTGAAACCCTGACCGGGGGGAACCTCACTGTCGCAATTTTTGCATGTAGCCTCGCTCAGCACAGAGTCAACTGTATACGGACCTTTCTACAGATGCTGCAACCTTCTAGCTTCTCCCGCGGTATTAAGTGTAGCTAACCAGACCAGGGCACTTTCTACAACTAGCATACCATAGTAATCTTTTTGGCGTTTGTGAGCCAGACATTATTGCGATCGAGCTGTTTCGAAGGGTCAACAAAGCTGCCGTTGTATGTCAGCAACATATTCAGAAAAAAGCATTTGCATTCGGCTGCTCCGGGTGGGGGTGACACAACATCAGCTGGCAATCATTTCTGATGCCCAATATAAATTTCGACTGGGTTTAAGCCTGAGGACGGGTATACAGCAGACCTATACGCCAAAAGACAAGCTGGTAAAGCCTCATCCGACAGGTACAGCGCATATTTATGACCATGCAACATTAAAAGCATCTTGAAAGTGCTATTTGAACTTTCTGCATGACCGTTTACTTAATGGTAATAGGCTGTGGTGGGACTTCGATTGATGCCTAAAACATACAACTCGAGAAGCAACAGGCCTTCGAACTGAGCACTCTGATCAGTATGAATTTGACATGGTACCATATGGTCTGCCATCCATTCTGCTATGAAACCTTTTGACACTGACGCGACATCTACCTTCCATAGGGATATTGCATTAGCCCATTTGGTAAAGTAGTCGACCATAATCAGGACATAACAGTAGCCGTTCGCCGTTTGATGCAGAAGACCCATGAGGTCTAGACCAACTGAGTTATTTGGAAATCCTGTTGTCATGGGTTGGAGTGGTGCTTTGGCCACACGAAAAGGCGCCTTTATTTCAACGTATAGATGTCAGTTTGTACAAACGTCATTGATATGCTCTGGCATGGCAGGCCAATACTAAATTTGATGAGCCTAGATGACCCAGACTAATGTGCAGATCAGAAACGATTTGGGTATAACCATACGCGATAGGTACGATGGCCCACATATGTAAGAATGAACACCGTCTCGGAAATTAAGATTATCATACACAGACCAAAGAAAACGAGCCTTCTGGTTGCTGATGGTCATTTATTTATCGGTCTGCTTGGGGGAGCCCGTATATAAGGCTTATGTAGCGGTCTTCTGCTTGTGCCGCACCCAAATTATCGAGAATACTCTTATCGATAGAAATTGCAGCTACAGCGTCCGAAGTCCCAGGTATCCGAGACAGAATGGCTGCATTTCCATGAGTTTTGCCCTGGTGGTATTCCTTTAACCCCCAACCACTACAAGTTATGCCTTTGCCTGGTATGAGAATATCGGCAAGTGTTCGAAATGTTATTAACACAAAACTAGGTTAGAAGAATATAGCTAAATCTCACTTAGCTATCTTTAACTGAATTTTTAACATATCGAGTACCAAAATGTGCAACAAGATCCACATCAAACTTGTCTAATAAGCCTATTTGGACTTTTCAACCTTAAGTCAATTTCTTGCACTTTAAATTTACACACAGAGAGGATTGGGCGAGGTATGCGAGACCTAATATCTTTGCGTCCTTGGAGTGGTCCAATATGTCTGCGCCCTCATATGTCGCTTA